TCTGACCCTCTTTTGTCTCCCTGAAAGCAGGAAATAAATTTCCCATGTGAAGGTGTCCTTCCTATACCAAGAGGATAGATGGCATTCTTATCACCAAAGAAAGGGAATTCAAGGCAAAGAAAGCTGTATAAACAAACTTTATTATTTCTTCTTTAATTTGCTACTTAGAGTAAAAACCCCTTTATTTTGTCCAGTCTTCACAAATAATTATTTATTTGTCTATAAACTAGAAAAGCTGCCTGCTTGGGTTACTTCTTTGAGCCTCATATTTTGTTTTCTCTACATACAAAATTAAATTTGTTTGTTTTTCTCCTGTTTTAGACTAACCCAAAAGAAAAGAAAAGAAAACACACACACACACAAAACCTAGAAAGGTAGAAGGTAGAGGAAAATTTTTTTCCTCCCCAACAGTGGCAAGGCTACCAGCATGGTGTCTTTTTCTTATGAAGGGCAAGTTTACAACCTGTCACTTAAAATGGTGGACTCTTTTCCTCTTCTGAAAGTATGAGCAAATTAAGAGTAAGGTGCAAGAACCTTTAGGAAGTGAGAGTCAGAGCTGGGCTTGACAGAGCAAGGGCAGTCCCCAAAGACTTACCTGGATCACCAGGAGTGATTCATCCCTCAGGAGCCTTCCCATGGCCATCAAAGGAAAGAGATACTTGAAGGAGAAGGATAGCATAATCTAAGGTGAAGGATAAGCACAGTATACAAGAGGACAATTTATATTTATGAAAGGTGCCTAGATCGCCTGATATATGTCTAAGAAGGAAATGGGTTCTAAGGGAATGTACCCAGCCCAAGAATGAGGAGATCTGGTTTCACCTGCTGCCATTGATTCTTCCTATGGAAAATGCAGCTCTGAGCACTACACTTCTAGCTTAATTTCCCCCATCCCCCACTCACACTGTAGCACTAATCAATCTATAGTCTTCTGCTATTAGATGTTAATGCAATCAAAGAGATGACAATGACCCTCAGATTCCCTGATTAATTCTTTTTCCCTCCTAGTCAGCAAAACTTTCTTTCATTTTTTAGTGCTTGGCTCATTTTCTCAGGTCACTTGGCTCTGCTCCATGCTCCAGGTACCTTTTTCTTGTACTGGGGAGAGGGTTTGGGTGATGTGATGGAGTTCTGAGCTGCTTGGCTTTGGCAGACAGACTATCCCTGTCCTTGAATGAAGGCATATTCTCCAAATAGGAAGGTTTTTGGGTTTTGACAGAAAGCAGTCTCAGAAAGGGACATTTGACTATGTATGGTGCCAAGTGGTTACTGGAAATATCAAGGGGAACATTACATAAAGTATATGCTTGTCTAACCACTATGCTGTACATCTGAAACTAATACAAAATAATATTAAATGTAAACTGAAATTGGAAAAAAATTGTTGGGGAATAAATTAAAAAAAAATTTAAGAAAAGAAAGGGACATTTGGAAATGGCGAGAAAGAGGTTGAGATTGAATGATTGAGAGGTATCAGTATCAAACAAACAAAACAAAAAAACTGAGAAAAAAACAAACCTGAAATCATTATTTCATCTTGGGCCAAAAAAGGCACAGAAAAAAAAAACCTGCTGAAGGAAAGATAAGTATCAGGGATTACAAATATTCCAGAGGTAGCTTGTGCTTAAGATCCTCAGTACGAAGGAATTTAAGATACAGAGCCTAATAGATCTGTGGCTTAGATGGGCAGCTGGAGTCAATGCAAACTGCCCAAAGCAAGACTTGTGATTTTTCTCCTACAATGTTCCTCTTCCCATCAATCTCACTTAGTAAATGGCACTACCACTCAACTGGTTGTTTAAGTCAAACTCATAGTTATTACCCTGAGCCCCTCTTGGTCCCTTACACATCATATCTTAGCCATCAGCAAATTCTATTGATCTACCTTCAAAATATATCCTGAATGTTCCCACTTCTCACCACCTCCTCAGCTATTACCTACTGTGAGCTACCATCATCCCTCTTCTGGACCACTGCAACAGCCTCCTAACTGGTCTACTTGCTTTGACTCTTGGCAGCCAGGGCTACCACGCTTGGATGTTCAGGTTGTATATTACACAAAGGTACCATAGCTCTAGGTGTGCCATTTTTATCACTTACATAAGACCATGCAGATTGGTGCAGACATTCTGGGCTTCTTGGCTCCAAGTCTGTGAGCAGAGGAAGAGACCCTGCTCCTTCATAAACCTGTACTAGTACACATGATCTCTTACAGACTCTGGAGAGCAAACATGCACACATATACATCCACATAAATGCACACATTCAGTGGCACAAATGAATGGGCTCTGTCTCACCCAAGCCCTGGGTGTTCTTAGTTCACTTCTCTCACTCACCACCCATTGTTCTCACAGACTAAAGTCTTGTCCTTCTCACCCACAGTTGCCTTACCTGAGGGGATAATGGGGTGGACAATGGGGAACAATGGGGTGAAAAGTGCTGCTGATGGTACATGTATTCCAGTAACAAGAAATGCTTAAGTGTAAGTAACAAGGATACGCACAACCAAGGCTGCTGCCTGCCAGGACCCTAGAAAACTCCCTTGGGCAGGGCTTAAAGTTGTTTAGTTGTACATTAAAAGACTAACCTATTTTTGTTCATTTTTAACTTGAGGAAGAAGTGTCTTTTTTGTAATCCACTCAAGGACAGTGTATCAGCAGCACTGCCTCCAACAATCTTAGCTCCATACAATGGTCCGCAAGAACTTTATAAAAAAATTGAGTATATAGGGGTCAGCAAAATTAGGTTTACAGTTGTGAGTACATGAAACAGAGAGTTAATAAAGATATTGTAATAATCATAATCTGTATGTCTTTTTCCACACGAACAACTGTAAACCTACTTTTGCTGGCCCCTCCCCATATTAATCCTTTGCTTAAAGCCTTCCATTTATTTCCCAATGGTTTTAAGGTGAAGGCAAAATTTCTTACCAGGTCTACAAGGCTTGAATGATCTGGCCGCTGACTTCCTCTGCAGCCTCATCTCATACCATCCTCTGTCATGCCCCTCCTCCAACCCCAGCGACACTTTCTGTCCTGAAGCTATTCATTCATTGTATTTCTTTCCTATCTGCAACCTCCCTTGACTTCTAGTGTGTTAATTCTATTAAGTAAAGACTTTGTCTTGTTCACTCTCTATCATCTCTTCATCACCTAGTGTAGTGCCTGCCATGTAATAGGCTGTCAATAAATATTTGCTAAGTGAATAAATAAATGAACAGAAAAAATGGGCAATATCAACCCACCTGAATGGCTCTAAGATGAATCTTTGTTCAGCCCCCTCTGTAGTGTTCTTTCAGATCCTCTGGTGAAATGAGATGGCCAGAAAAATGTAGGCTGTAAACATTAGTGAGCTGAAAGACCTGTTGGGCCAGCATAATAAGCAGTTATCAAGATGTTAGAATGTGCTGTGCTAATTGCTCTAGTCACTTTACTCCTTTCATCTCCACAGGAACCTTGTGAGGTATATATAGCCTTAGTTTTATTCCCATTTGACTATGAGTAAACTGAGATACAAGAGATTCAGTAACTTGGATTCAAATGCAGGTGGTTTGACTTGACTCTCTCTGCTGTACTGTGGAAGAGTGACAATACTCCCATTTCCTCTAGTTCCTGTTTTGAAATGCCCTGGGAGTGGTTCCCCTGTGCAACTTCACTGTCTTGAACCTAGTCCTGGAAATCAGTTAGGAGAAGTGCACATGTTATATTGGCAAGCAACACTGAGTGCAGATCTAGTTAGTGTCCCCATGGGAAAGGAACCACCTTGGTAATTGACAAGACAAATTAAACAGCTGAGATATTTTGTGCTTTCTTGATATCGAAATCTAAAAAAATCATCAAATCCTAAGCGAGCCTCATGAAACTGAAAGGGAGTTATAGTCACAAAGCAAATTTAACACCTCTTCCAATTTTCTTGACATCAAGTGGAGTGCCTCCACTGAGGTGAGAATGCCATTAACTTGAAGCTTTATGGGGTTGAAACTTCTACAATTACAGGGCTAGATTGTACCCACTATCTTCACATAAGAAGAGAAATTGTCACAGGGAAGAAGTAGTGACTAGGCCATGTTTTGCTTCCCTGACTATGCCTAAAGAGAATGAAAAATAAAGCATGACAGGGAGAAGGCAGAGTAATCCTTATCGCTAAGATATTAGCATGCTCTTGGCATAACAGACTTTTTCCCTTTATCTCATTTTCTTGGCCCTTTTTAACAAAAAATGACTATTAAAACACAATTTGAAGTCAATTTGCCCCTTCATGCTCAGAGCCTGAATCACAAATTTGTGGGATATACATGGGGCTTTCCCACATATTTTATCAGAATCCTAGAAGTAGAGAAAGAACTTAACAGACCATTTGGTTCAACCCATTTACTTTATAAATGAGAAGACTGAGGCTAAGAGAAGGGTGTTGACAGAATGACCTGCATTCTGAAGGGGAAGGGGTGAAGAAAAATGTTAGAATCAATACAGTGTTTGATTAATAGCTAGTCACTTGTCACATAAATATATACACATTGCAAACAGCCCTCTCTCTGGCAGAAAGTGAGGGATGTTCTCAACAGAGGGAAGACCTCAGCTGAGGAAGCTAAATGGGAATCATTCATCCATGCAGCCCCTTTCTGTTATTGCAAAGATTGGCCCAACCCACCACATAGTTTTTCTGTGGGCTCTCAACAACATTTTGCTTCGCAGAGACTTCCAAATATTGCTTCTCCTGCTAGTGGCTTGTGACATTTAATCTCTGTGGGAAGGATGGGGCCTTTTCCTCTAGTCATGGAATCCATTATTTTTTGTTGAAACACAGTGAAGAGCTTTATACAAATTGCAGGGCAAAAATAGAAATGTAGCCAGTCCTTAGTACGGCCCTGTGTAGGAGGTTCAGGGCAACCTGCCCTTCAGGCAATGTGTATACAGAGAGTGCTCACTTCAGAACTAGATGGTAAATCTTTTAGGGAGAGAGGCAGAAAGCAAGCCATCTCTTCCTCTTCTCCCTTAAAGGAAGATAAACTTGAAATTGGATGGAGCTGGAGACTCTGGAGAAAACCAGCCCAAGTGCAGTACTAGACTCTGCCTGAGGGAATCAGAGTGGTGCAGCTTGGCTATGAACCTGCTGTGAGGCCTTGGGTAAGTCACTTGCCCTTTTTGAGTCTCTCATTTTTATCTGCCTCTCCTGCCTCACAGGATAGCTGAAAGGTATAAATGTGGAGAAAATAGACACACATATGCTTTGGAAATAGTTACACTCAATTTAAGGGAAAAGTATTATTGTTATTTTATGCCTTCTCCTTCCCTCTGGTAGTTGGACCATCTTGGTGCCTAACGCAAAATTTAAATTGGCATAAAGCACTCAAAGACAGGTCCAAGGTCTCTGGAACTATAAAAAAGAGAGGGTAAGAGGTCTGTAAGGGTAGGAACAGACCCGTCATGAATCACAGCCCCACATAGGTCCTTAACCTCTCTGTGTCTGTCTTTCATCAGCTTATTGAATTTCTCTAAGCCTCAGTTTCCTCATTTATAAAGTGGGGTTGTTGTGAGGATTTAAGTGGAATAATGAATGGAATGCTTTTATGCCAGCAGTACTAAGGAAGTAGGCATTTGATAATTATTATTATTGATGTTAATTGTTTCTGTGTGCTGAGGAAAATTGATTGCTTAATGCCTGTGCAAGGCTAGTTATTGGCAAAAAATATAGATTCTTGGGCTTCACCCCAGATAAATTCTGATTAAGGGCTCTAAAGGATTCTGATGTGGGGCCAGATTTTGGAACCATTGGTTTAGAACATTTTTTCAAGCTGCCAATTATTACCTACTGCTTGGGAAATCAATTTATTGCAGCAATTTTCAACTGGTGTGTAGCAAGGATTTTTAAAACAAGCAATATGTGACTATTTATTCAGGGTCACTGACTTCTTTTCCTTTAGATTGTCAAATAAAAAAATGACAGCAGTCAATACAATAATAGCTGTCCAGTGTGAGTAAATCAAAATTATACCTATTTTTTGTCAGATTGGGAAAAAATATACTTTTTGATGTGTCACAGAATTTCAGTAGTTAGTTTATTTGTGCCATTAGATTAAAAAGGTTGGAAATCACTGTTTTAGTGGGTAGTGACCAACAGTAAAAAAGGCAATTAAAAAATAGTGTGCGCTGCATACAGTAAAGGTTTATATTGCTTCATGAAATGTTTATATATATATACATATATATATATGTATATATATGTATATATATATATATGTGCGTGTGTGCGTGTGTGTGTGTGTGTGTGTGTGTGTGTGTATATATATATATAATTCTGTAATATATGTTATATGCATGTCAAGTGTATTTCTTACTGTAGGTCATGGAGACACTAGTATCCAGAGAAATAATATGTCAAGTTCCAGTCCAGACAAGAAAAAATGACCAGCAAGAGAATGGATAAGACCCATTTCTCCTCTCTCCCTGTCTCTCCCCTGCTATGCTTGGGTCAACAGAGTTGATTGTTCTCTAATTAGAATGAATTTTAATATTGTGTAATGGCCCTGGCTTGAGATGTAAGGGCAAATTGGGGGTATTTCTAGAGGTTCCAGGCTAATTGTATTGACCCCATTAGACAGAAAATGCATCAGGGTTCATTGGGGTGTTTAGTTGCTCTTGGTTAGTGAGTGCTTTGTACATACATTTCATTCTTCTTCTTCTCCCAGACTTTGCTACTTATTTTACCACTTGAGACTCTTTTGCTGCTTTTGTAAAATAAAATAATAAACTTAAGAATGTTTTCATGCACATCAACTGACATCAGTATCTTTTTCCTCTTTACTTGGTATATTGAGGATATTAGCAACCCTAAACTTTTCATCCACATGCTCCATCTAAAGGGAACAAGCATTCCTTGACTGCATGCAGTCCATTATGGTCCTGTGGGATGAGGTCAGCAAGACCTTCTCAGACCACCCTCTGTAAACTACAGTTGCCTCTTGGAATCTGTGGGGGATTGGTTCCATGATCCCCCATGAATACCAAAATCTGTGGATACTCAAGTCCTTTATATAAAATGATGCAGTATTTGCATATAACCTACACACCTCCCCCCATTTACTTTAAATTATCTCTAAATTACTTGTAATACCTAATACAATGTAAATGCTATGTAAATAGTTGTTATACTGTATTGTTTAGGGAATAAAGACAAAAAAATACTGTGTACATGTTCAGTTCTGACACAACCATCACAGTAGGTCTAATTACACAGTATATATCAGCAACAATGCAAATTTTTGGGGGGATATTTTCAATTCATGGTTGATTGAGTCCTTGGATGTGGAATCTGCAGATACCGAGGGCTTATGGTATAGGTCTTGCAGTATCCTCCTACTCCTACCATTTCAGAACTCCTTATATCTCCCACCTTTATCTTTTCCCCATGGCATTTATCATAACATAACACACTATATTCTAAATAATAAAGAGATGATAGATATAACCTCATGTGTCCATATCTTTTTTTCTAGAAAGATTAGACATCAAGTTTTATGTAGTCTTCCAATATTTAATATTGCTAGATCTGATATTTCTAGAGAGCTTGGGAATTCAAATATTTATATAAAATCTTCTGATTTTTAAATTTTGGTTACCAGATCAAAATATTTTAAACACCATTTGGGCCAAAGAAAATATGTCTGTGGCCCATACTTGGTCTGTGCATCACCAATTTGTGACCTATTGTACAGATTTGTGGAATGTTGGAGACTGTGAGAGGCTCTAATTGATGTCTTCTATTGAGAGGTTAAGTACTTTCTCCATGGACAATCTACCCTGTGGAGAGGACAGCATTCAGTTCACTCTCCGGTGCCTTCCTCACAAAGAACATAACAGTCATCCCCATCCATCTGATAAGCCCCAGGCACTTCTCAACACAAAGTGTATGAATTTACCTGCCTTCCCAATCTCAACAGTGGTTATTGCCTCTTGGCTCTCTTTATTGCTTTTGCTGCAGAGATAGAATCAAGACAAGGTCTTTATGGGAATATTATTAACATTTCTCCCAGTTAGCGGTGCTTTTGGTAGAATTGGTACAGTCTAATGCAAAGAATCTGGGACTCAGTAGAGGGCTGGGCTTAATTCTAAGATCTGCAATCTGAGGTAACTTACTTTACCTCCCTGACCCTCAATTTCCTTAACTATAAAAATAAGAAAAATAAGATTTTCCTTTCTTATTTCTCAGGTTGCTGTGAGGCAAAAATGAGATAATATGTATGAGAACACTTTCAAAAGAGAACATTGTAAACTCTGAGAGTATATTATCATTATGATGTCAGCAATTAATATTGAGGACCTACTACGTGCAAGTTGACATAACACTTCTTCAGGGCATGACAGGCTGCTCAAGAGCTATAGTCTAATTGAAAAGAAGGGACACATGTGAGTGGAAAGAGAGCCAACACTGTAAAGCCAGAGATGACTAGGACTGAACAAAATGTATAGACTATGATGAGAGAGATTGTGATGGAAAGGCTGATCATGGAAGGATTTCTGGAGGGGGTTGCATTTGAGCTGTGCTTTGAGAAAGAGTTGGTAAGATTGGGTTGGCAGAGGGAAAAGAAAGACATCTTAGACAAAAACAACACATGCAAGGGCTGAAATCACATGTGTCGGAAGCCAAATATGTATGGAGTGAAGGGTTCAAGGAGAGATAGGCAGATGATCACTTCTTGGGCTTCTTCGCTTGGCTAGAACACAAAAGAGAGACTCAAAGCATGCTTCTCATGAAACCAAAGGAGAATCCAAATGGGACAGTGGATATGGTTCATTACATTACAGGAGGGCTTAGTACTGTAAAATGGTCATAAAAACTGTTCCCACCTCATATAGCTCTTTTGAGCATTAAATGATGTGATGTGTTCTAAGCATTTAAGATAGTGCCTGATCTATGACTGGTACTAAATAAGTGTTAGCTATCATCATCAATTTTCATTTTATGCTAAAGTCATGGGGTAATAACACGAGCTTTGGAATCTACCTGATACTGATTGTGTTATCATGAACAAGGCATACCACTTCTTTGTTACTCAGTTTTCTGTTCTTTAAAGTGAGAATAATAGTAGTGCCAATCGAAAAGGGTTATTGTGGGGATCAAATGAATTAATCCAAGTAAAGTGCCAATCACAAAGCCTGGCACATGATAAGCACTCAATAGACGTTACCTGCTACAATGATTATGGCCTGGTAATCATTAATGTAATATGACTGCATAACAAAAAAAATTGAGGAAATTGAGAAACATAAAAAAAACCACCCAAAATCTAACTACTGAGATACAATGCCTTGTTATCATATTGCAATCCAGTTCTTAAATCTGAAATTTCTTTTGTTGAGGAAATTAAGACTGCAGAAAAGGGCAAGGATTTGGGATGCACTGGCCATACCATTAAACATTTACAAAGCACCCAGTACTCAAGTTCATCTGAGCTCATTTGAATATCAGTTTTGTTCTTTAACCTTTATCCGATGAAAGGGAACTTTAATTCCTGGCAAGGAGTGGGTCCGGCTGGCTGGATTTAAATGCTGATGGAATTTAAATGCCGTATTTTAAAGGTTAATATATTTGATATCCCTGCCAACTTTGGGTCATCTTCAGTCAATGTGTTAGCCAGTGTTCCAAGGGTTGAGATTCAACAAATAATAGGACAGACATTATCTCTGCATTTAAGGAACTTACAGACCAATAGAGGGAGATAGAAAAACAAAAATATATATATATAAAATATTACGTTACATGATATTAAGTACTATGGGGAAAACCTTTAAGATGGCTGATAAGGCCCTAGCAGGTTTTGTTCAGTGGTTAGAGCATCGGCCCACAGACTGAATGGTCTTAGGTTCGATTCGGGTCAAGGGCACATACCTCAGTTGCAGGCTTGATCCCCAGCCTGGGTCAGGGCAAGTGCAGTGTCTCTCTTGTCTCTCTCATACTGATGTGCGTGTGTGTGTGTGTGTGTGTGTGTGTGTGTGTGTGTGTCCCCCGCCCCGGCTTCCATTGTCTCTGAAAAACAATGGAAAAAATACCCTTGGGTGAGGATTAAAAAAAAAAAATGATGGGCTGATAAGGAGTTCTAAAATGAGGAGGAGTGTGGAGCAGTTTGCAAGGCCAATAATTTTAAAGAGGGTGGTCAGTGAAGAGCTCACTGGGAAGATGATCTTTGAGTGAAACCCTGAAGGAGGTGAGGGAGGGTGCTATGCATCATCTCAGGGAAGAGCATTTCAGGCAGAGAGATCAGCAAGAACAAAGTCCCCAAGTTAGGAGCATGCCTGCTATTTAAGAAACAGCCAAGAAGCACATGAGTAATGGGAGTGGAATGAAGGAGGGAAAGGGTAATAAGATAGGAGGTCAGAGAAGTCACAAGGGCAGCTAGTTTGGGGTTTTGTAGGCCACTGTGATGACTTCCATTTACAGGGAGTGAGATTGGAACCCACTGAAGGATCTTACCCAGGGGGCAAATGATATGACATAGCCATTTAGTCCTGCTGTAAGTGATAGGTTTCCTAGCCCCCATAGACTTTGTACAATAATAAATAAGAGCCAAAGTCCTAGCAGTTCCTGCAGAACTGTCCTTATCACTCTAGACTGCAGAGAGAGGGATCATTGTTCCAGAGGAGGCACCACAGTAGAATTGGTCACAAGGAAAATAGGAGAAAGAGATGCAGTCTAGTAGAGCTGAAAGGGACCCAGTGAATGTAACTCTGCCACTGGGTTATCTGTTCATAGACCCTTGACTCAAAATACTCACTGCCTTACCAGCCTGCTCAGGCTCTTGTAGGACCCTCTCAAAGTCAGAAAACCTTCTCATAGATAGGTTTACTAAAAATCTGCCTCCTTGCCACCACTGGGCAGCAGTAGCCCAAGTTCTGTCACCTGGGCAACACAGAATAACTGTATACATTCCATAGTAAAACACTTGAGATTTGAAAGCAGGTGGGCATCTTATATGTCCCTGAAAGTACTCTTTTTCAGAGGACATGTCTCTGGTCCCTTCCAGAGCCACTCTTGTTATGGGATGGTTTTGCATCCCTCCGTCAATCTCATGGCCCTCCTCTGGAGGTGCTCCACTTTCTCAGTGACCCTCTTAAAATGTGGTGCCTACAATTGAATAAGAGGTTCCAGGAGGAAATAGCACAGATTGCAATGTAACAATTGTATTGTGGGATCTAAAAACCATACTTTGATTAATACAACCAAAACTGTGCTCTGTTTTGAGCAGCTGAATAAATTAGATACAGTAAACTTTTGGTTCAAGTTATGCCTTTGGTTCATCTCAAATCCCTAGATCTTTTTTGGTTTGTTTGTTATTATGTGAGCTGCTGCCAAGCCATCATTACCTTATTCTAGCCTTACAATATATACTTTTAAATTTTTAATTAAGGTTGTATTTTCTTTATCTTATAAAGTTCACCTTATTTTTTATTTTTTATTTTAGCCCAGTATTCCAGCCCATCTGAACTCATTTTGAATCTCAATTTTGTTCTTCAGTACATCTGATATCTCTGTCAGCTTTGAATCATTTTCAGACGTGGTAAGTACATTTTATGTGTCATCTAAGTTATTAGTAAAAGTGGGAAAGCCCTGTGGCCTTTCTCTGGAGAATTTTATGCTGATTGCCACCTATACCTTGAGTAAAGTTATTTAATCAAATGCCAATCTATTTGACTTGTGTTAGAATCTGGTCAATATGTTGCTGTCTTATCTTAGTTCATTCATGAGAAAGTTATAAGAAACAATTTCAGATATACTGCTGAATCCAAGATATGTTACGGTTATAAAAGACAGGATAAATAAAGGATAATTAAGATGGAGCCTTTTATTTTGCAAAATGGAAACTATTGTAGTTTTTCCAATTATAAAAGTAGTATTGGCTTGTCGTAAATGTCAATAGCATGCAAAAATATACAAATTAGAAAGTGAAAGTTCCTGTGTAATTCTGTGCCAATACCCGACCAGATAACTTTGGTTAACAATTTTGTGTATTCATAAATATGAGTCTGTGATTTAAATGGAACCATACTATAGAGACTATTTTGCGACCTACTTTTTTCACTTACAATCTTTTGGAAACATCTTTTCTTGTCAGAATATATAGTTCTACTTCATAATTTTAAACAACAGCATAGTGTTCTTTTCTGTGGTTGTTTTCTAATTTATCTCATTAATCCCATATTGTTGGTCATTTAGATCATTGACAAACTTTTGCTGCTACAAGTAGTGTTTCATGATGACCTTTCTTTCTTGATTTGATGAGATGTTGTGCTGGGTGCTGGGTGCTGGCTCCTCTGTATTCCTCGTTCTTTTCAAATCTTATCAGTATTCTAAATGCTCAATGACTGCTTCCACTGAAGAAAGAACTAAAGAAGGGGCTGCCAACTCCCTACTCATCATGGTCTGAGTTTAAAAAATCTATACCTCGTCATCCCTTGGAGTGGAATTAAGGCTATTTGAGCTTCTGGAGGCCTTAGGAGGACCAAGGCACCCCAAGATCAAGCCCTGAGTGACAAAAAATCTTGATGGTAGGCTCAGCCTCTGACTGGCACAGGTGATGCGTTTAGGAGCAAGAAGGGGAAGGAGAACTGCCTTGCCATTTCCCATCACACAGCCTCAGCTCTGAAAAGTTGATCCACTTGCTAGGCCCTGAATAAGCCCCTCCTTCTTCATCTTTACTCCTTTCTTCCCTTTTTTGTGGCTTCCTCCTTGCACACATGCACCTCCCAGAACAACGTAAGACCTGTCTGCTCTGAACTCCCAGAACACTTTAAGAGCCTGGGCTTGATAGTCAAACCTGAATATCAGAGCTGCACCTGCCCAGCTCTGTGATCTCAGATAAATCACCTGTTCTTTCTGGGCCTAATTATTCTCATCTGTAGAATGAAGATTTACCTATGTAAGATATTTCAAAACACTTAACCCAATGACTGGCTGATATGAAGCACTTAATAAATATTAGCTGCTATTATTACCATCATTATCATGATTGTCGTAAGTGATCATATTACCTACTCCATAGAATTTTGAAGATTAAATGAGAACATAAGTCAAATACCCAGCACAGTGCTCAGCATAAATTGAGTGCTAAATAAATGATAGCAATTGTTCATTGTACTTATATCTTCCTTCATTTACTTATCTCATTCTCTATTGTGTTATTTCTATTTGTGTTCACGTTTTGATCTCTTCCTCTAATTTGTAAACTGTCTCTAGAGCAAATAGTTCCTTTCTCTCTCCCCCCCCCCCTTTCCACTAGTAAACATAAAAGACTTCATGGTGGGGTTAGTTAGGCTCTTTAAAATTTAGATGAATGAATGTTGCAATCCCTGTTTCTAAGCCCCTTCATCATTGTATTGTTTTCTAGTTAACATCTCTCCTATTGACCTATTAACTGATCAGCAGGGCCTTGTCCCTAGGGCAAGTCATGACATATGTATTCCAACCACTGAGCAACTGATCACATAATTAACAATCTACAGAATCTTAGCTTGGAAAGTTTTCCAGAAAACAATTGCCTTGACAGTGTGTTTATGAGCAGAATGGATTTGCATACCACTCTCAGGCTTCTGATATCTAAATGGAGTCACATTAGGTACCAGCCTAATTCAGGCCACCATCAAGTCCCTCTTAGACTACCACAACATCTTCTTAAGTGTTTCTAAGCTTTCACTCGTCATCCACACAACAGCTAGAGCAGTCTTTAAAAAATAGTAAGTCAGATCACATCATTTGCTCCTCAAAACCCTCCAATGGCCCCCATCTCATGTGTAAAGTCCAGTTTCCTTCCCATGGTATACAAGGCTCTGCATAATCTGGCCCCTGCGTGTCTAGCTAAACTCATCTTGTTTCACTCTTTCCCTTGCCCGTTCTGCACCACCTACACCAGCCTTCTGTTGTAAGAACACACCAAATTCATTCCGCTTCAGTACCTTCATTCTCTCTCTGCCTCCCACCAGGAATTAAAACTGACCCATTGCCCAAATTCCTTATGCTTTCTTTTGTCCTTCAGATTTCCACTTAAATGATATTATTTTAGAATGGTATTATTCATTTAAGTCTTCCCTGTATATCTCAAGCAACCTCCCCCCACACCCAGTACCCTCAAACTCATTGGTTGTCAGGATTTACTTCATATTAAGAATCACCTAGAGAAACATTTTATAAAGTATCACCAGGTCCCTTCTATATCATGTAAATTAGAATCTCTAAGATGAGGCCCAGATTATCTGTATTTTCAAATGCTCCTCTAGTAATTTTAATGTGTAGCCAAGGTTGACAGCCTCTGTTATCAGATTGTTTATTTCCTTCTTAGTACTTATCACAGCTGCAATTATTTTGCTTCTTTCATTCATTTGTTCAATAAATATTTGTTGAACCTCTACCATGTGCCAGACACTGCTTGAAACATAAACACAGGGATTAAAGTAATGCACATAATAAACACAAATACTAAACTTTATGAAACTTCCATTCTAGTGGGGAAGACAGACAATAAATAATATCAGTATATATATACTGTGTATGGACTAATGTTTGTAATGTTTGTGCCTCCCTCAAATTTATATTTTAAAGCCCTAACTTCCAAGGTGATTACATTTGGAGATGGAGCCTTTGGGAACTAATTAGGATTAGATGAAGGCATGAAGGTAGGGCTCTGCTCTGATGGAGTTAATGAGTGCCCTTATAAGAAGAGATACCAGAAAACCTCTTTTCTCCTCCCCATTTCATTCTGCCCATTCCCACACTCAAGAAAAGGTCATATGAGCACATAGCAGGGTGGTAGTCACCTACAAGGCAAGAGAAGAGGCCTTATAATGAAACTTAACTTGCTGACACTTTGATCTTGGGCTTCCCAGCCCCTTGAACTGTAAGAAATACATTTCAATTGTTTAAGCAACACAGTGTGTGATATTTTGTTATGTAAACCTGAGGAACTTAAGACATATGGTATGTTAAATACTGATAAGTGCTAAAGAGAAAAATAAAGCATAAATGGAGATACGATTTTTTGGTGGGGAAGGAGAAAACTTTTAGAGTTGTCTGGAAAGGTGAATCTTGAGTAAAGCCATGAAGGAAGTAAGAGATCTAGATGTTCAGCCATCTGGATGTACAGCATTTAAGGCAGAGAAGAGTCAGTGCAAAAATCCTGAAGCTGAATCATACCTGTTGTGTTTGAAGAACAGCAAGGGGACTAATGTGGCTGGGGAGTTGAGAACAAAGGGAAGAGTGGTAGGAGATAAATTTAGATAAGTAATGGGGGGCAGGTAATGTGGAACCTTAAAGATTATTGTTAGAGCTTTGGCTTTTATTCTGAGTAAAATGGAGCATCACTGAAGAATTTCTAGCAGAGAATAACATAATCTGACTCATATTTTAATAAGCTCACTCTATATCTACCATGTGAAAATAAACTGAAGGGGGAAATGGTGGAATCAGCAGAACCAGCTAGGAGGCTATTTCAGTAAATAGGTGAGATATGATAGTGGCTTGGAGAAGGGTGATAAAATGACAGTGATATGAGAACCAATGAGGAATGGTCAGAATATGTACGTATTTTGAGAGATGGAGTATATAGGATTGATTGACAGACTGTATACTGAGCATGAAAAAAAGTGTAGTCAAGGATGACACCATGATTTCTGGCTTGAGCATCTAGAAGAATGGAGTTGCCATTCAATTTAGATGGAAAGGACTGTGGGAAGAGTAAGTTTTAGGGGGAAATATCAAGAGTTTATCTTTGAGCTTGGTAAATTTGAAATGCCTATTAGGCATTCAACTGGAAATGTCAAGCAGAGAGGTGGATATGTAAACCTGAACTTCATAGAAAAGGTCTGGCCTGGAGGTAGAACTTTGGAAACCATGAGACTGACTGAAATACCTAGAGTGTAAGTTCAGGTGGAAAAGAGTAGAGGTCCATGGATTGAGTCCTAAAGCACTCCAAAGTTAAAGATTGATTTGACAAGCAACAAGCAAAGCAAACTGAGAAGCAGCAAGCAGCCAGAGTAGAAGAAAGTAAACCAATGGAATGTGGTGTTTTGGAAGTCAAGAGAAGAAAGTAATTAAAGGAAAAGAGAGAAGTCACTTAAGTCAAACACTGTGGAGAACACACACGAGATGAGGATAGAAAAAGGACCTTTGGCTTTTGTAACATGTAGGTCACTGGTGATCTTGATCAGCACAGTGATTAGTGTGAGTTCGACAGAGAACAGAAGGAGATAATTTGAAGACAATGAGTATAAACAATTGTGTCAAGATTTTAGTACAAAGAGGAGAGTAATGGGGCAGGAACAGGATCTGTAGGGGTAATTAAGGTTGAGAGAGGATTTTATTAATTTTTTGGATGGGAGAAATAATATTCTTTTGTTGCTGTTGTTAATCTTCACCCAAGGATATTTTTTCCAATGATTTTTAGAGAGAGTGGAAGGGAGGGAGCGAGGGAGGGAAGGAGGGAGGTGGGGAGAGACAGAGAAACATCAATGTGAGAGAGACACATCGATTGGTTGTCTCCCGCACTTACCCTGACTGGGGCCGAGGATC